CATATAGCTTATTAATATTTATTTCAAATTTATTTCAAAATGACAGCAGCAGACAGGACACACAACTGCTAGACACATTATTACCTGATCATGACTGCTTCACTCAGACACGGTCCTGTCCCAGTTCTGGGACTTGTTGTCCTTAACCTTGAGTGTTCAGCTTCACACATCAGCATTCCCTGCTCTGGGCTGCAACTTGACATCCGTGGATTCCTTATGCTAAGCTTTAATTCTTGCAGGAGAATTATAATGATTTTTCCCATTTTCTTATTTGATTTTTCCCAGAATTTAGGATTTGTAAAAATATATAAATTTCCCATCAAATGCCTGGAAGAAATTCCTACATGGAAACACTAACTAAACGATCACAGTTTCTTTTTATTTTCCTTTTTTTTAAAAAAAATTCAGCTTTATTGAAGTATAATTGACGAAAAAATTTAAGGTATTTGAAACAATCATAGTGGTGATTTGATATACATAGTGAAAGGATTCCCTCTGTCTAGTTAATTAACATATCGCCTCATATCTATTTATTTATTATTTTGTTTGTTTTTAGCAAGAACATTTAAGTTCTACTCTCTTAGTGAATTTCAATTATACAATACAGGGTTATCAACTATAGTCACCATGCCTTACATTAGATCCTCAGACCTTATTCACCTTGTAGCTGAAAGTTTATACCCTTTCACTGACCTTTCCCTATTTTCCCCACCCTTCAGCAGCTGGCAACCACTTATCTAACATCTCTTTATGACTTTTTTATTCCACATGTCAGTGATACAATGCAATATTTGTCTGGTTTATTCACTTAACATAATACCCTTGAGGTCCATCCATGTTGTCAAAAATGCCGGGATTTCACTCTTTCTCATGTGATATATATATATATCACATCATATTTCCATATCTTGGCATTGTGGAAAATGGTGACTAAAAAAAGGAGTGCAGGGAATTTCCTGGCGGTCCAGTGGTTAGGACTCGGTGCTTTCACTTCATGGGTCCAGGTTCAGTCTCTTGTGTGGGGGAACTAAAGATCCCACAAGCTATGCAGCACAGCCAAAAACAAAAAAAAAAAACAGTAGTGCAGATTTCTCTTGGGGATCCTATTTTCATTTTGAATATATATACCAGAAGTGGATTACTGAATAATATGATAGTTCTATTTTTAATTTTTTAAGAAACCTCCATACTGTTTTCTATACTGATTACACCAATTTACATGGCTGCTAACTGCACAAAGGTCCCCTTTTCTCCACATCATTGACAACATTTATCTCTTGCCTTTTTTTAAAACTATTTTTATTGAGGTGTAGTTGATGTACAATATTATATATTTCAGGTACACAACATACTGATTCACAGTTTTAAAGGTATACTCCATTTATAGTTATTATAAAATATTGGCTATAATCCCTGTGATGTGCTCTACAATATATCCTTGTAGTTTATTTATTTTACACATAGTAGTTTGTACTTCTTAATCTTGTACCACTATCTTGCCCCTCCTCCCTTCCCTCTCCCCACCAGTAACAACTAGTTTGTTCGCTCTGTCTCTGAGTCTGTTTCTTTTTTGTTATATTCACTAGTTTATTTTATTTTCTAGATTTCACATATAAGTGGATAAGTGATATCATATAGAATATCTTGTCTTTTTGTTGATAGCCATTCTAACAGGTGTGAGGAGAGATCTCATTGTGATTTTGATTTACTTTTCTGTTATGATTTTTGATGTTGAGTATATTTTCATGTACCTCTTGGTCATTTGTATGTTTTCTTTCAAGAAATGTCTATTCAGTTTTTATTCCTTATTTAAATTGGATTGTGGTTTTTGTTTTTTTTTTAATATTGAGTTGTACCAGTTCTTTATATATTTTGGTTGCTATCCCCTTATCAGATACATAATTTGCAAATATTTTTTTCCCATTCTGTAGATTGCCTTTTCATTTTATTGATGGTTTTTTGCTGTGCAGAAGCTTTCAGTTTGATATAGTCAGTCCTACTGGTTTATTTTTGCTTTTGGTGTCAAATTTTAAAAAATCATCGCCAAGACCAATGTCAAAGAGCTTACTCCCTATATTTTCTTCTATGAGTTTTATGGTTTCAAGTGTTACATTCAAGTCTTTAATCCATTTTGAGTTGAAGCTACCAGCTTTCTAAATTTTTCAGTGATCCCAAAGAATGGTCAGAACAAAGAAGAGGAGGATTAGTTTAATCCATTATCACCAGTGGAAAAAAGTCTCTTCATATATTTTGTCAAAAATATAACTGTTTGTCTAAAACCCTCAAATAACAAACAATTGCATGTCTAGAAAAAGCATATATGAAGGTTTGTTTACTTCTGATTTTTTCAGGTAAAAGAACTCACTCTGCAAAATGAACAAACAAAAAAACTTTAGCATAGTAACTGTTAGTATTAATATTCACTACACAAAATCTAAAACATTGAAAACTTTGATATTTTGGGTTCCTATATCATTTGCCTTTCTGTTTTGGCTGGTGATAAAACACCATAGCTTACCATATAAGAACCATAATTTATATAATATTCTGCTAATTTTTCAATGTAGTGCTAGACAAAATTCTGACTCTCTGCACTTGACTCCACATAGAGGTTAGGTGCTCATTCTCATGGTCTCTAAGATAGAGAGCATTTATTAAGACAAGCTTCACAGAAATATTATCTTTACTGCCAACCAATAATGTTTGGGATACACACTCTTACTAAAAATATGTATCTGTGATCTTTTCAAGTTTGTGTACACTGAAATTAACCTATGGAAAGAGGAGGATTAATATTTCACGTCATGATATAGGATACTGCAAGGGAGGAGGAGAGTTATGTTGAAAAGTGGGATTTTTCCTGTTGTTGCAGAATTGTAGCTAATGCCTGAAGTTGGGGAACAAAAGCACTTAAATCTTCACATTCTAATTTGAAAGAACTTCAAAGATCAGCAGTGTTTGGTATCAACCACCTCCCCAACATTGGGGGTCATCACCCCTCTTCCACTTTACATCTTCAGCCATCCAAGTTAATGTAAAAAAGAACTATGAGGCCAGAGAAATGGCTCTGGGTGGAAGAAAAACTGATTTTTTAGTGATAAAAGCAGCATATCTGCTCCCTAAAGGAAAGGTAGGGAGGTCCCAATAAAATGGATAATTATGGGAATGTAAATTGGTACAGCCACTAATGAAAACAGCATGGAGGTTCTTCAAAAAACTAAAAATAGAGTTGCCATATGATACAGCCATCCCATTCCTGGGTGTATAACTGGAAAAAACAAAAACTCTAATTTTAAAAGACACATGCACTCCAGTGTTCATAGTAGCATTATTTAGAATAGCCAAGACATGGAAACAACTCAAGTGCCTGTCAATAGAAAATTGTCTTAAGAAGATGTGGTATATAAGTATATGATGGAATATTACTCAGCTGTGAAAAAGAATAAAATATTGCCATTTACAGCAACATGGATGGACCTAGAGAATTTTATACTTAGTGAAGTAACTGAAACAGAGAAAAACAAATAATGTATGATATTACTTACATATGGAATCTAAAAAATAATACAAATGAATCTATATACAAAACAGATATAGACTCACAGACATAGAAAACAAACTTAAGGTCACCAAAGGCGGGGGGGGGGGGGGCAGGGGAGGAGAGGTAAATTAGGAATATGGGATTAACAGATACAAACTACTATACATAAAATAGATAAGCTATAAAGATTTACTGTATAGTACAGGGAACAGTATTCAATATCTTGTAATAACCTATGATGGAAAATAATCTGAAAACAAAATAACTGAATCACTATGCTGTACACTTGAAACTAATACAATATTATAAATCAACTATACTTCAATAAAAAATAATTGGCTAATATTGTTAATGAGCCTCTGCAAAAAAGGAAAACCTTTAGTTTTGTGTGTTTATCCAGGTGGAAAACCTGCACACTTATCCTTCCCCTTGGGGTATCAGATAAAGGGAAGAAATTGGGAAGAGATGACATGATGGAGAAAGGCCAGGCAAAGCAGGGACAAGGGCATCTCCTCTAATTCTCATTCCCTGACCATAAGGAAGGTGGATGAAAAATAATCTTTACAAAAAAACTTCTATAATAGAGCACTGTAGATAGCAGTAGAAGTGGAAGATGGATTACTAAAATTCTTATGCTTAACCAAGGATTTATCAATGATGTATCTAGTCCACTGATTTCTAACCCAACAGACTAATTTCCGTCTTCTACTGATCTCATTTTAAAGAAAAATAAAGACCAGTTCCATAGAATTCAAGAATGTTAAGATTCTAGTTTTCTTTAGATTAATTTATATGTATGAATGTATGTAGTGTATTTATGTAACTAGGATGACAAGAAATCCACCTTACTCAATGTTAATAGAAGGTTTCCATTTGTAACACCGACTGTAACCACAACCTGTAAGAAGCAGTTATCTATGAAACTGCCCCAGACGTATGGAAGTCAAGTAGGGGCCTTAATTGTACAAAGTGGTTTGGGCTTCCCTGGTGGCGCAGTGATTGAGAGTCCGCCTGGCAATGCAGGGGACACGGGTTCGTGCCCCGGTCCAGGAGAAACCCACATGCCACGGAGCGGCTGGGCCCATGAGCCATGGCCACTGAACCTGCGCGTCCTGGAGCCTGTGCTCCGCAACAGGAGAGGCCACAACGGTGAGAGGCCCGCGTACCGGGTTCTCAGTAATATCATTATTTTTATTTAAACAATTGTTTGCCACACTGCAGCTGGGTAGAAAATTTTGAAGATAATATAAAATATGAAGGGTTAATCTGAACACTCAAGTTAGAATGGTGCACACAGATATAAGCAGATTAACAGCCTTAACTCTCCATGTATTTGGGCAGACTAAATAGGCATGAGACAGATCCAGAATCTATAACACTAAAAATACGTGTTTATTCTAAATTACCCCCCAAACTTCCCATTATATGAAGTAAAAATACTGTTTAATGAAAAACTCACCATATCTGTATCTGAGACGGGGCCAAAACTGGTCACATAGATGTTAGTGAAGACTTCAGTAATACTGTCTGGTGTAAGAAAAAGAGATTGAATATAGACATTATATAATGAGAACCACAGGAGAGAGAAGGGGTCAAGTACATGGCATGGTTAGAAAGTTCTGTGATATTTGGGAATATTTCGGTTTTGCTTTCTTTTCAACGTTCACAACCAACAAAAATAGCTGTATTACTTAATTACTTCATAGGGTGTAACAATCCTAAATGCTTAGAAGGATTATGACATTCTTATTTGGAAACTATACCTGACTAGAGCATTTTGTTTTCCGCACACTGCTCAGAATGAATAGTTTCTCAGAAACTATCTTAAATGTACCACCAGTATGGAAAATAAAGTACAGTTGGTATGGTTACTGTTTGATACAGTCCTGTAATTGACCATTAAACCAAATATTTCAAGTGGTATTTCATGCTGGTAGAGATTTAGTTTGTAAATTAGTGTATCTTCTCAATAAAGCACAAACACATTGTTAATCATTATAAATAAACATAATTCATATTTTATAAAAAGTTTTATCATTCAGTAACATAAAAATAAAAGCAAATAACATTCATTAATCACAAGGATTACTTCCAAACAAACTTGCCTTTACATGTATCTAAGAATGCCTAAACCGCAAAGATTAAATCGAATTAGATTTGAAATTTATGTAACTTATAAAGTGTAGCACAATTAACTGGATTGCTTTATTAACCAGGTGATTTAGATCTTTGATTTTAAATAAGCCAAATGGCAATGGGGGGAAAGCTCAAAGGAAAAATTTAAAACTAAAACCCTTTCAGTGTTCTTATAAGAAAAAAGTACATCATTAATTTCTACCATCATGAACTTAATGCCTTAACTGCTAAGTGTCAAATGTGTAATTCTACACAAACAATATCATGCAATATTTTAATATTTTACTGAACATTAATTCACAACCATGAAAGAGACAGTAAACTGAGTCTGGAATATTGTACCCACTAAAGCAAAAATAAAAAGCAAAAGGATTTTGAAATAACAGAGTAGACTGAATGCTTACTCTTAAAAGGACTTGAAATGTAATAATCTTCATGAGAAATCTATGAGATAGATTCTCTGTTATCATCCCAATATATGTGTACACTGATGTACGGAATGTTAAGGAAGTGTGTCCCGTGACCCACACTCTGTTGGGTGGATAGAGCCAGGTTTTAGGAACTAAGCACTCTGGCTCCTGAGCCCCCAGGGTAAACAAAGCACTGCACCACAGTCAAGAATAAATTTAAAAGTATTTTCTTATCAACTACATATTTCTATTTACCACAATACTCTGTGCCAAAAGCACACTTACGGTGTCCCAAATAAATATATTCCTTCAACATTGTTATTTTATATACTATTTTATTCCAGAAAAACGTTATTCGTGAAATTTTGTTGTAAAATTCATTTGAAACTCATTTCTAAAGTTAATTCTCAGCTGCCACCTGCCCCCAAACACTTGCACAGGGTCTACTTCATAGCTATACAATTTGTGCAGTCACATAGGTCCCTGTGCTCAGAAAAGTCCCATGCCTGGTCTAATGTTCTGTTTTTGCTTCCTTGAAATTCTTCATTATGTTTTGCATAAAGGGCCGTGCATTTTCATCCTGGACTGGGCCTCACAAATTATGTAGCTGGTCCTGGATTATATATGATTTTTTCCTCTTACTCATACAAAATCAATCGTGCTCTCACATTTATTCAATAAACAATTGAATAAAACGTTAGTCACTATAGATATTGGTTTAAAATGTTCCAAGAGAGAGAAATTAAAATGTTATGGTAGTCTTCACCCAAATAGAGGCAAATGGAATTTATTCTCCTTAATCTGGAGTTGTAAAGTTAGAAAAGAGAGTTGATAAAAATACATGAATATATTCATGCTAAGGACATGAAGAATATCCACTTACACACCAAATGGCAAGTAAAGAGTAAAGGAGAATGTGATCATCCTAGTGGCTGCCATGAGGTGCCAACTAAGAATCTAAAGGGAGAAAAATAAAATTACCCTCAAAGCTCTAAACAGTAAGAGCAACACCTCAAGACAGAACAGAGATAGGCAAAGTTATCTTAAAGAAAATAATTTCAAAGTTTAAGGACGTCATAAACACAGTTAAAGAATGTATGCATTTCAAGGAATATTCTCCTGCTATGCATGTTCAGAAAAAGTAGAGGAAAATAAAGTGTCCCTGAAGCTAGAGATTATAGTGTTACAAAGGCAGCTTACACCACTGCGAAGAAGTGAGTTGCGTACAGTCACTGCTGCTGAGAGATCCAGTAATCTGAAGTCTGGAATATTTACTGAATTTAGAGACCTGGGAGCCATTAGTAAAGTAATGTGTGCAGAGGCCAGCTTGAAGTGAGGGAAGTGAGAGAAGAGGAAGAGCCTAGAGTGATTTTAAACAACCTTTAAGAAGTTCAACTGTGAAGGGAAACAGGACTCCAGCAACAAGGGAAGGTGGGGGAAAAGAGACAGTTTTTGTTTGCTTGTTTAAGGTGGAAGATAGTTAAGGATCTGGCAATGCAGATGGAAGGGACTAAGGGAGCCGCTGAATATTCAGGAGACAAGATCAGTGAAAGAGGAATATTCCTGAATAAGCAGGTAGTGCATTCATTAAAAGAGATTGACATTATATACATGGAGGGAAGAAGGAGGAGGGAATATCCTTAATTATATCAGGGTGAGAAGAGAGAATGTTGAAATAAATGGAAGTAGGTTTTTAGGTCTAGTGGCAGGAAAGTTCCTGGAGAGGAGAGAAATTCTGAGTTACGTGCAAAATATCTGTGTGGATTATTTTTATTATAATAGATGATGATTCCAAGTAAAAAATTTGATAGTATAATTATATTAATAACATTTACAATAGTATACATCCATAGAAGACCAATGTAGCATCTGCTGCCAGTTCTTTGTCCATAGCCCCTTGACAATCATGATTCCTCTACATCAGGGGTCCCTAACTCCCGGGCCGTGGACCGGTACCGGTCTGCAGCCTGTTAGGAACCGGGCCGCACAGCAGGAGTTGAACGGCGGGTGAGCGAGCGAAGCTTCATCTGCCGCTCCCCATTGCTCCTCATTGCTCGCATTACCTCCTGAACCAACCCCTCACCAGTCCATGGAAAAACTGTCTTCCATGAAACCGGTCCCTGGTGCCAAAAAGGTTGGGGACCGCTGCTCTACATGCTGGGATGTTCTGCTGCAAGCTCCTGTGATTCTCTGCCCGAGGGCTTTTCCTGGCTGTGCAGGGCAGAGTGTAATTGCAGAAAAGTTTGTGTTCCTGGGAACAGCCATCAACCAACGATGGATGAGAGAGTTGGAGGAACTCAGCTTTCTCTCCCTCTCAGTGGAGACAACTCTAAGGCATGCTCTACACCATTTCCCAGATGACTCCAGGGAGGAAACTACAACTGTCCTCAGCAGTAACCTGCTCACCATGGAACCCTGCTTTGGCTGTCCTCTCTTCCCTGTATCACTTTGACCTCCCTCAGCTAGTGCCGCCTGATATCCCTTCCCAGATGATTGTGTATCTTAGAGTCTGCTTCTGTGAGAAGCCAAAGCCAACTACAAACATCATTCACATACTCTAAGAAGAAAAAAAAGATAATAATTAAGGAGTCAGGAAAGATATTAATTGTATTAAAAGACATTAATTAATTGCAGCTAACCATCCAAGCAATAAGGTATATCGTCTTCACCCCTGTAATTTAGATATAACACTAATACCAATAAGGGCACACACTCATAAGATGGAGAGTAAAATCAAACTGTAAATGACATCCCTTCAAGAAGATGAGGATGCTAATAATTTTGCTCACCATATGTCATAAATAGGATGTCGTGCACATATTTTAAGACAAGTTAGCCATTGCTGTTTTGCTTTACTCTCTCAGCAGCAACAAAGACATTTTGCTTCCTGGGATGATTTCTGTTAACAGCTACATGTGCCATTTGTCATCAGTCAAGTTCAGTAAAGTCAACAAATACTTAACCGACTTTTGTGTATATGGCGCTTAGTGTTCCCTATTAAAAGTTGGAAACTTGGAATCTGATCATATAATTTGTCACCATTCCACCACAAAAGAATTGCTGCTGCTTATCCAATATCTTCCTCCCAGTAGACACTTAACACGTGTTTGATAAATATAGTGCCCATAAAATCAGGAAGAGTTAAGACCAATAATAAAACCAATATGAATTGTGTTTTCTTACAATCATTTTTCATGATAGTTCTAAGTTTTGGACTTTGATTCTTTGCAATAATTTGGAAACATGAAATATAAACATATATTGAATACATGAAATTTCCTCTCAGTGTGGCTCCTGGTGCTTTTAAATTTTTGAATCTTTGTATATTGTTTGTTCTTGTAGTTTTGTTTATTTACTTTGATATTTTTCCTGCTAATGAAAATGCATTGATTTAAAAAGTATAGCACATTTGGGAATCCAAAACAAGAATCACGATGGCTGTATGTTTGTGGACAGGACACAAAGTCCTCAAAGGATAAACTAAACATACCCCATCATGACAGTCACTGATTATGGGTTACAAATGAATGTGACTTTGAAATCACTGGAGGGTCTATCTATCCCCCAATAAGGTTTGGGACTGTTCTGGCCCTTAGAACCATCACCAGGTAGAAGATTTGTAGTGCCTTCTCTTTCTTTGAAATGTCTTTCTTCAGTACCTAATGATTCAGCTTGCTCTGGTGAGGAAGCTGAAGACACACCTCTCTCCCCAAAGCACTAGTAAAGGAAATCAACTAGGAAAGGGAAGAGGAGACTGAATGCACATTGATTCCCATGGATTTAGTGGGACCGTTTGGTTCAATTAACAAATAGCTGCTAAGAGTTTATTAAGTATTGTCCAGAGACATCCCCTGCCTGACAGACAAGGGAGAGAATGTTTTCAAAGGGAAGCTGTTAGTGGTGCCAGAAGCAATTTATGTTCCTCAAGCTAATGTTTCATCAAGATTTTGCTACATGCTCAGTGTGGGACTCTGACAGGGG